TGCCCGCAGCGTGGTGCTCTCCTGGGAGCCTGGCAGCGATGGGCTCTCCCCTGTGCGCTACTACACCGTGCAGAGCCGCGAGCTGCCCGACGGGGAGTGGGCTCTGCACTCTGCCTCTGTCAGCCACAATGCCACCACCTTCGTCGTGGACAGGTGAGGGGTGATGATGATGTGATGCTTTGGGCAGTTTCCTTGTGCCTTGGTTTCCCCCATCTGATGAGAAGTGGTTGCACAAGCTTGGAAATCACTAGCCTTGTTGGGGAGCTCAGGGGGTCACCTGCTGGCTTCACCATCCCCGTCCCACTCTGCTCCCTGTAGGCTGAAGCCCTTCACCTCCTACAAGTTCCGTGTGAAGGCAACAAATGACATTGGGGACAGTGAGTACAGTGAGGAGTCGGAGTCGCTCACCACCCTGCAGGCAGGTCAGTGCAGGCTGCACCTCCTGGGGGTGGGAGAGGGTGTGCCTCAGTGCCCAGGGCTTTCCACCTGTGCCCAGAGCATCTTTGCCTGCCTGGACATGGTCATCCCTCCTGGCCTGGGCATCTCTCCCATGCCTTGTGCATCTCTGGAGTCTCACCGCTCTCTTCTCCTCCACAGCCCCTGAGGAAGCTCCCACCATCCTCTCCATCACTCCACACACCACCACATCAGTGCTCATCCGCTGGCAGGTACTGCCCCCTCTGCCTTGCACAGTGTCACAGGATTGGCCCCTTGGGAGGTGACACAGGTGTTCTGGGGACAGTCACCTTGGGGTGCCAGGGAGCTGTAGGTCAGAGCAGCCCTCACTATCCTCCTTCCTCCTGCAGCCCCCAGCTGAGGACAAGATCAATGGGATCCTGCTGGGTTTCCGTCTCCGGTACCGGGAGTTGGTGTATGACAGCCTACGTGGCTTCACCCTGCGTGGCATCGGCAACCCTGGGGCCACGTGGGCTGAGCTCACCCGTGAGTGCTCATGGCCCTGCCACACCTGGGGACATGGGGCTGGGGGTGACCTGGGGTGGCAGGTGAGGGACAGGGCAGTGCAGCATCGTGTGCTCCACAGCCTCTCTTAGGTACCAGGATAAGGCTGTGCCCTGTGGAGCTGTCACCAGCCTCCTCATGCCACCAGGTCCATGGTCCCTAACATGCTTGTGTGTTGTTGCTGCTGGCTCTGTCCTGCTCTGCGCAGTCTCTGTGTCCCTGTAGCAGAGGTGTTCATGTGTCTGTACCTAACACAAGTGTCTGTGTGACACTCTGCTATGTATGTCCAGGTGTGCTGCTGTCCTCAGACCTCACAGGGCACAGGGTCACATCTGCTCTGGGGGCAGTAGAGACTCAAGTGACAAGGGCAGAGCCCAAGCCTAGGACCTTGCCCTGTCCTCTGTGGTTATAGCCCCATGAAGACCCAATGGCCAGACCCAGCTTGTACCACCCAGGATGAAGCTGGAGGATGGAAAAGCTCCTCAGTGCCATGACAGCTCTGTTGGCAGCTGGGGGTGACAGGACCCTTGCAGGGGACCACGGCCCACCCTGGGGTGGGCAGCTGTGCTGGGGTGGGTGCTCAGAGGTGGGTGCCCACCTGTGCTGTGTGTGGGACTAACTGCTGCCTGCTCTCCTACCCGTGCTGCCCAGCTGTCTACGCCGTGCACAACCTCAGCGAGGTGTCCCTCACCCAGTACGAGCTGGAAAGTAAGTCACTGCCACCCACCGTGTCCTCCCCACTGCCACCCCGTGTATCCCCCCTCTCCACCTGCTTGTGCTGTGGGGTGAACTGGGGTGCCAGAGACCCTCTGCCTGTCTGTTCCAGTCGCTCCTTGGGGACACCCCTCTCTTCCCAAGCTGGGGGGGGGCTCTGCTGGGTCCCCAGGGGTAGCAGGACATCACAGGGAGTGTCCTGCTCACCCCTTGTCCCCTTTACCCCCAGACCTGAGCAAGCACCGGCGCTATGAGATCCGCATGAGTGTGTACAATGCTGTGGGTGAGGGTCCCCCCAGCCCTCCCCAGGAGGTGTTCGTGGGGGAAGCAGGTGAGTCCATGTAGGGGTGCCCATAGCTGGGGGCTTCAGGGAAGGAACTCAGCTGCCCTGGTACCCCACATCACCCAGATAAGGCAGTTCATCCATGTGTGGGTTCCCCTCCCTGGTCCTGGCTGAGGGTCACACTGTCCCCTCCTTTGGCACAGTACCCACCGGAGCACCCCAGAATGTGGCAGTGCAGGCTGCCACGGCCACCCAGCTGGATGTCACCTGGGAACCACCACCTGTCGAGACCCAGAACGGGGACATACAGGGCTACAAGGTACCTCCTGTCACCTGGGAGCTGGCACTCAGCAGGCTTGGGGACACGGGGGACTCTGGGGAGGTGACGGATTCCTGGAGGCCACAGGGAGATGCTGGGAGTCATTGGCGGGTGTTGTGCATACCTTTGGGGTAGGGATCCTGGGAAGATGCCGGGTATCCCGATGATCCTGGGTGTCCCATCCCGGTGCCGAGCGGTCGAGGGGCGGCAGGTGGCGCCGTCGGCCCTGGGATGCGGTGGGGGTGTTGTCGGGATACGCCGGGATACAGCCGGGATGTGTCGGGACGCAGCCGGGGCGACGCACCGGAATGCAGTTGGGGTACCCAGCTCTGCACACCTCTTTGTCCCCATCTATCATGATTCCTCCTCCTTGTCCCCATCCTTTGGGAAGCAGGCATGGCTCGAAGGTGATCTCAGCACACTTGGTGATGCCAAGCCTGAGCCAGCCATGCATGGGGCTGTGTCTGATACCCAGCACAGCCTGGAGCCCTCCTGGAGGAGAGGCTGTTCCTTTCCCTCCAGCACACACTGGGGCAGGGAGCCTGGACAGGGCTGTGTGGGGTGTTTGGGCACAGCGAAGGGCCTGGGGAAGGCAAAGTGGATTGGATCCATGCACCACCCAGGTCTCCATGCCCTCTTCTCCTGCTCTTGTAGATCCACTACTGGAAGGTACAGGGCCAGAATGGGAGTGCACGAGTGAAGACTCTTTTTCTGCCCGAGAACGGGGTGAAGCTGAAGAACCTGACTGGGTACACCTCGTACTGGGTCAGCGTTGCTGCCTTCAATGCTGCAGGGGATGGACCCCGAAGCATCCCTGTCAAGGCACGGACACAGCAGGCAGGTGGGGCCCCCCCCAGTCCCCTCCTGCCCAGCTGGGCTCTGTGGGGAGGTGTCTCCATGGGCAGGTGTCTCCTTGGGTCTGGCTCCAGGGATTCTCCTTCATCCCAGCTCCTATAATCCAGAGGGGACCAGCCCTGGGCTCACCCTAGAGGGTTTGTGGGTTGGGGGCATATGGAGATGAAGGTTTTGGCTGAAATTTGAGAAGGATGAAGGTCTTGGGAAGAGAGACGAAGAGAAAGAGGAAGGATACAGGAGGAGAAATCCTGGAAAGTCTCATTCCCCCCTGGAAATGGCAGGGTCTTTGCTGCCACAGGGATAGAGGCACAGGGTGGTGTGAGATGATAACTACCATTAGGGTTAAGGCAGGGAGAGGGGCTGGCTTGGTGCTGGGGGTGTCCCTGAGGAGCACTGAGCTGGCCCTGCCACCCTGCAGCCCCCAGTGCCCCTGGCTCCATCCGGTTCAGCGAGCTGACCACCACATCAGTGAACGTGTCCTGGGAGCCACCACCACTGCCCAATGGTGTCCTCGAGGGCTACAGGCTGGTCTATGAGCCCTGCACGCCCGTGGATGGTGAGGGCATGGCTGGGGCACACTCCAGGGGGAGCTGGGAGGGCTCCAGGGGGGACCCAGCTCAGCCTCCATCCCTGCAGGCGTCAGCAAGATCGTGACGGTGGATGTGAAGGGGAACAGCCCCCTGTGGATGAAGGTGAAGGACCTGGCTGAGGGTGTCACCTACCGGTTCCGACTCCGGGCCAAAACCTTTGCCTATGGGCCAGATGTTGAGGCAAACATCACCACGGGGCCTGGGGAAGGTAAGAGGGATGTGCCAGGGTGCGCAAGGAGGATTGGCATGGCCGTGTGCCAGTTTGTCCCCCCGTGCCTCCATCTCTGCTCTGTGTCCCCAGGTGCCCCTGGCCCTCCTGGAGAGCCCTTCATCTCCCGCTATGGCTCAGCTATCACCATCCACTGGTCGAGTGGGGACCCTGGCCAAGGGCCCATCACCAGATATGTCATCGAGGCTCGTCCCTCAGGTACCACAACTCCTCTCTGCTTTCCCTCCCCACTTCGATACCAGCCATGCCCTGGGGTTAGGAGGAAGGGAAACTGAGGCAGGGAATGCTGACTGCCCCAGGCCACCCAACAGGTTGGGTTGGGGGTTAAGGCCTGGTGTCTGGGGTGTTGGCCATGTGCTGGTCATGAGGAACACTGCCCTGTGGGGCTGATGGCAAGGGCAGCACCCAGAGGGCACATGGTCCTGGATGGAGGGACATCAGCCTTTCACCTTTGGGTGTCCTGCAGAACCAGCCCTCCCTTCCAGCCCCCTTCTCTCTTCCAGATGAGGGGCTCTGGGACATCCTTATCAAAGACATCCCCAAGGAGGTGACCTCCTACACCTTCAGCATGGACATCCTCAAGCAGGGGGTCAGCTATGACTTCCGTGTTATCGCTGTGAACGACTATGGCTATGGGACCCCCAGCACACCTTCCCCCTCTGTGTCAGGTAGGCAGCATGTGGGTGTCCCTGGGGGGATGCTGTCCCCACTCTGCTGGAGGGAGGGTCCTGGTGTTGCTCTGTTCTCATGACCAGCACTGACATCCACCTCCTGGCTCCTAAAGAGTCTGAAATCCCACTGCCAGCACTGCCCTTCCAAAGCCCCTGTTATCCCCCTTTCATATGGATCCAGGTCTCACAAAGTCCCCCAAGCGACCCCCAAGCAGTGGTGTCTCTCTATCCAGACTGGTTGTCCCTCATGCCTCACCCCCTCTGATTGTCTCTACTGTGCCCCAGCCCAGAAAACCAACCCATTCTATGAGGAGTGGTGGTTCCTAGTGGTCATTGCCCTGGTGGGGCTCATCTTCATCCTCCTCCTCGTCTTTGTGCTCATCATCCGTGGGCAGAGCAAGAAGTACTCCAAGAAGTCAGACTCAGGTGAGTGAGGGAGTGTGGTGGGTGATGCCAGCCTTGATCCTGTGTAAATCTCTTTTGGTCTGCCTGCTTTTCAGTGGGGTGGCAGGAACCTCCCTTCCTGCCAGCCTTGGGAATGGTTCCTCCAGGGCCCCAGTGACAGCTGATAAGGATGCTATGAGCTTCCCAGAGAGCACTGGGAGCTAAAGATTAAATAACTGACTTGTCCCACAGTCAGCTGTGGAGGCAGGGCAGCCCGGGGGCTCGCAGAGGTCACTGGGATTAGCCAAACACAGCTCTGTTTTCTTAGCTCTATCAAGGGCTCAAATTGTGGGGAAAATCCAGACCTCCTCGTTAAGCAAACAGCCACAGAACAGGGAGCCACAGGCGCTGGGGCAGGTCAGGGGCTGAGCCAGGCTGTGCACTGGGCATGGGGCTGGCACCTCATGGCTGTCCCCGGGCTGTGGTCACTCTGGAGTCAGCACAATCCTCCCCAGCCCATTCCCCAGCCCCACTGTCCTGCCTGGGGAGGGTCTGGGGGAGACTGAGCGTCCCATCCTCCAGGGAACAGCTCCAAGGCAACTGCCCTGAGCCATGGTGAGATGGTGAGCCTGGATGAGGGCAGCTTCCCTGCCCTGGAGCTCAACAACCGTCGCCTCTCCGTCAAGAACTCCTTCTGCAGGAAGAATGGCATCTATACCCGGTAGGGACCCTCTGCCACAGCCCCTCCCTGGGAGTTTTCAGTGTCCATCATGGGATGAGTATGGGGCTGGGGAGGGTTGGAACACCCAGGGAGTGACCCTGTTGTGTCCAGCATCCCCTCTGAAAGCTGAGACTTCCTGAAAGCCTATGGATCATGGGATCAAGATTCTCAGGAGGGGGTTGGCACAGCTATGGGGTGGTCCCTGAGGGTTGGCTGGGGTTATCTACAAGTGGCACAGCCCTGAGGGGAGGGGACACGTGCTGACCACCCATCTGTCCCCAAGGTCCCCACCACGGCCCAGCCCTGGCAGCCTCCACTACTCGGATGAGGATGTGACCAAGTACAACGACCTGATCCCTGCTGAGAGCAGCAGCCTGACAGAGAAGCCCTCCGAGGTCTCCGACTCCCAGGTGACTACCTGGGACTGCAGTGGGGACATATGGGGCAGGATGGAGAGTGCTGAGAGCCTTCCCTGAGCATCAGCCCTGCTCTCTGCCTGCCACAAGGCAGCTCCTGCTGTACATTGGGGAATAGCAATGCTGCTCCTGCCCCATCCTTCTTTTGAGGCAGCAGCATCCCTGGGGCCTCGTGGCGTGGAGCCAGAGCAAAGCTGGCACAGCCCCTGGCCCGTGTGCTGGGGGTGTGACACCATGGGGGCTCCCAGGGCTGCTGGGGACAAGGGCTGGAGGATGGGAGGTCAGCAGAGTTGGGGACTGTGGGGTTGTGACACCACAGGAGGCTCCCGGGGCTGTTGGGGGACAGGAGGTCAGCAGGATTGGGGACTGTCCTGCTGCCTGGTCGCCGGTGGCAACGTCCAGAGCTCTGCCAACTCCACAAAATGCCACCTTTGTCCCGTCCTGGAGCAGCTGTGGCTGGGCAGGAGTGTGGCTGTGGGAGCTCCCCGGGCAGGCAGCCTCGGGGAGGCCACGGGAACATCACCCCCAGGAGGGATCCTGGGCAGCATCTCAAAAGACAAGGCTGACACCCAGGGAAGAGTCCTGAGGGTCCCCAGGGCTGTCCCTGAGCAGGAGGGGACTGTCCTCAGGGTGCCCCCCCCATCGCTGCCTGCAGCGGCTGTTTCCTTGGCAGATGCCCGCCCTGCTCCCTCCGGGCCGAGCGGGGCGCGAG